AAAAAAAACATGACTTATATGTTTGTGAATAAACATGATGCTACAAAATACTCAGTTCACTTCAAAGGAAGGCAAACAAGGTAGCTGTGTGTTTTGGGTGATGCTCACAGAATTGGGTGTAAGATAACCAGATTCTGAAAACACTGCTAGTGCGTTCGTGTATTTGAGTAGTTATTTATTAAATTTATATGGCCATCCATCTCACTGTAAGTAACTCTGGGAAGCTTAACATCATAAAAGCAAAGATAGAAAATAGTAAAATAAATATTAGAATGAACAAAGATTAAGTTAAAACGGGGTACAATGGGGGTGGGGATTTCTTCCTAGTTATTAAACACTCCCAGCATGGAATGCGCCTGTCGGGGCCCAGGGCCAAATGGCAAAGTCAGATTTTGAGGCTCTTACCGAAGGCTAAGAGGGTGGGATGGATCTCACCTTGAAGGGCACAATGCTCCAGAGGGCAGGGGCCATAGCAGAAAAGGCCTTTCTCCTGGACCCTGCCAGCTGGAATTCCTTGACTGATCCAGTGTGCAACGTGTGTGTGCAACGTGTGTGTGTGTGCGTGCGCTTGTGCATATATATGTATGTATATGTGTACAGTATATGTATATATGCAGGAATGCCCTGAACCGTTGAGACTTTATGAAAATGAAAGCATTACGTATATGTACCATTAAGTATATTATTAATGCATCTAACAAAATGAATTCTGGACAAAATTCTATCTATGTTCATCTGCTACTCTTGCTGTAAGCAATTAACCAAGATAGAATGTGATTTAATTGGTTTTCTCGTTGCATGTAATGCAAACTCAGCATATTGTAATTTATGCCACAAACCAAAGCTAAGTAAACCATGGTTTTAAATGATAATGTGAATCTAGGCTCTATGTGGAATACAATAAAAGTGGCATAAAGCTTTGGAAGAAAGGACCTTTTCTTTGCAGAACACCATATAAATAATTAGTAAGTAAAGCATGGTTACACTGCCATCTTGTGGAAAGTAACAGGCATGGGGCCAGGGTAAAATAATAATAATTAATAATTAATAATAATAATAATAATAATAATAATTGGAAGGGACCTTGGAGGTCATCTAGTCCAACCCCCTGCTCAGGCAGGAAACCCTATATACCCTAATGGAGTGACCTATAGATTTCCCCTGAGCCTGCATTTCATTTAATGGGGGAACACGGAGTTCATGTTGACCACGGAAATGAATGAGACTGCATGTTGCCAATTAATGCCTCCAAATATTATTTCTTATTCATTTTACCAATTTAAAAAACCATTCTGCTCTTACAAAATTTTGACGCTGGCTGTTCTCACAGGTAAAACTTAAACACACATCAGCTAAAGTGTACATGTGGGAACCAGTTTGGCATAGTGGTTAAGGCTTCAGGCTAGAAACAGGAAAGGCATAAGTTCTAGTCACGCCTTA